GATTTAAATGTGGACAGTTTCTGTACTGACCTTTTAAGGCAAGGCAAAGAAACTATGTTTTAAAAAATTTATAATTGGTTTTAAAAAGCAAAACAAAGCTTGCTGCTTATATACTGTCCCATAGTTTTAAAGCACTCTCTGGGCAGTCTACAATTCAATGATGCGGGCTATGCATTGCCTTCCTTCCCCGAAAGCTAAGTATTCAATTTACCAACCTCAGAAGGATGGAAGGCGGAGTGAGCCTTGAGCCAGCTCCCTGGGATTGAAACCAGGTTGTGAGCAGAGTTTTGGCTGCAGTTTTAACTGCTGTGCCACGAGGCTCAAGGGAAAAAGGAACCACCTTCCCCACGGAAGACAGAAGATGCCCGAAATGCGATGAGAACTGGGGGAAGGGCTAAAATCTCCTGCGGGTTGCAGGCTATCTTGCCCAGGTGGGCTCTGCCTGTTTTGAGGTTCAGCCGTTCTTCCTTGGGGCCATCCCCGGGCAGCCCCTTTGGATCAGCCCAAAGCCGCCAGGTCTCCCGCCCTCTCCCCATCCCGGCTTCTCCCGTCTCCTCCTCCACAGGCACTGCCTTACCTTGCAGTTTTGGCACATTCCCCCGATGAAGAGAGGATGCTCCAGGGTGACGTTGAGGCTTCCGCAGGAGATGCAGATGTCTGGGTGCAGGATGCGGGTCGCGAGGGAGGGAGGGAGAGAAAGGAGAAGTGTGGGCAGGGGGCAAAGGGGAGGGAGGGAGGGAGGGAAGAAGGAGTGCCGCCTTCTCCCTCCCTCTGCCCTTGACCCCGCCCCGTATCAAAAGCCCTCCCCTCCACGGTGGCTGACCCCTTTCAGCAGGGAGATGGGACTTGAAGACCCCCGGGGGTCCTTTCCAGCCCCACACAGCGCCCTTACCTTCAATGTTCCGGCATTTCTGTCGAACCTCATAAACAAGCCGCTCTGGGAAGGCAAGACAACACATGAGGCAGGCGGATGATGCCCTGTAAAGCAAGGCAGGCTCCACTGGCCAGCTGTATCCCCCAGGGCGGCCAAGAGCAGCTGGGGTGAAGCCACACCCAGGGACAGAAGGTCTTCAGGAATGGGGTGCCCCCCCCAGAGAGCCACCCGCCCCGCCCCCCCCTCCCGCCACTCCCTGTTCAGCGGGCGCTGCTGTGT